GAGTGGGGAATTGTTTTAATTTATCTATATAGTATATCTATCTCTTCTATTTGGGTAAAGAGTAAGGTTAAAAAAATGCTCACCTAGTTTGAAAGACAACTTTGGGAATACCGGTAAAGAGTGTATGTAAACTGACATTTCAAGAATGTCAATTATCATTAAAGAGATGTAAGAACTAACAATAACAAAATAGTTTGTTAGCCTACTGTAGACAAACAATACCATTCTCCGCCGTAAACTGTTGGGAATTGGTTTNGGGGGGGGGGGGTTGTTTTTTTACTTTCCGTTTTTGTTTTAGTTTTGATTCCATTTGGTGTTTCTACGATGTTGTGGGAGGAGACGGGGGGGAAGGGGGGCGATTTGGGGGGAGAGGGAATGTGGGAGGACACGGGGTGCGTAGGAGGAGAGGATTGGAGTAAGTGAAGGGAAGGGAGGTGGAGTGTTCAAACATTTAAAAACGCAAAATCCATCACCCGGCAAAGAATTGTTTCTGTTTTGTTGGGTTTTTTTTTACTTTCAGATAGAAGAGCTAACTGAACAAATGTGTTTTATTTTAATGATTCAGGTGGACAAAAAAAAATATCTGTTTGATATTCTTAATATAATAAACACATCTTAAAAAACCTTATATTATTTTATTACTGCTACTTTAAAATCTTTGTCAGTTTGAAGACTGGTGTGAATCTCTCTCTCTCTCTCTCTCTCTGTCTCTCTCTCTCTCTGTCTCTCTCTCTGTCTGTCTGTCTCTCTCTCTCTCTGTCTCTCTCTCTCTCTCTCTATGTCTCTGTCTCTCTCTCTCTCTCTCTCTCTCTCTCTCTCTCTCTTCTGCTCACTGATATGCCCACATCCTGTTATAACAACACATACACGTATCGTTTCTTTATAAATGGCCTTGAAATTGAAATAAGTTCATAAATTGGCGATCAATCGAGTTTTAGAAAAGGTGACCTCTCGCCAGGTTGGCTGCCGTGTCAACATTAAAATCTATGTTTCGGGTCAAGTTATACATTAAGACCATATTTCCATTGTTGCCTTTTACGTCATCCTGTTGGAGTTTATTTTTTATTCGATGTCATTCTTTGCTACTAGATGTTATAACTAACATTATGTTACAATGATTAATAGTTTCCTATTTCTGGCAACAGCAAAGGAGATCCTTTAAGTTGTTTTTTCTTCTGTGCTTCATTTCTTGTCGTATTTTCATTTGTCCTGTTCGCTAAGGACGTCTCTAGCATGACCGTTCACATCTTATCGTCCTGTCTTTTGATTCAATCTTCCACATACCTTGTTCTACTATTTCTTTATTACCTATCATATAGTTTCTTCATTCCACTTCCATTACGTCCGTTCCTGTCCACCTTTTGTCCACGTCATTTCAAAGTGGCCAACCAATGGAAATACTGTACTCCCCTGGGCGTAACGCCGATTCTAGATAAGAAATCAGAATTGTATTTGTATTTGAGTTAATTGATGCTATGTCTTGGCGTTAACACAATACAGTTTTAGACATTTTTTAAACTTTTAAGTAAATAATAATTGGGGGGTAAACCTCCTACCTTTACATCTATTTTTAATGAAGTCGAAATGAACTGTCCCCTAACAACGCTAAACTCAAAGTTACTAAACCTTTCTTCTGAAAATGGATAAGGGTGGGAACTTAATTTGTAATTCTTGTTTACCCTAACCCTAAAACCCAGCAACTCACTCTGATCCCCAGTAACATAAAATCGCAGGATTTTTTATTTGTTTTATTATTCCAAATAGACCGATACGGAATTTCCATGTATTGATTTTTTTATATAGATTTATAGGCAATAGAAAAGGAAAGCCACGGTTCTATCGGGACTTGCTTACACCGATACGACGCCGCCTGTTAAAACCTGTCACACTCGCGGCTAACTAGGTCATCTGGATCAGGACAATCTGCATTTTTTTTAACAGACAATTTTTCTGTCTCAACTTTGAAACTCGTGAATTATAATCAAAGGGTCTATGCCCCTTTCTGTACCTTGTAGAGTTTTTAAAAAAAATAAATTATGTTATTTAACTTCGCTTGAAATGTTTACATTTCAGTCCAATCGGTTAACTATAGCAGAACTATTCGTATAGTGCAGGTTGTACTGAAGCTGTTTGAGTGAGCCACAAGTGAATTCGCAATCCTTCAATCCATTCCGTTATATATGTCATCTAAGGACAATGCAACGGACATTGAATTATTGATTTATTTGGTACATAGCAAGCACCTCGGGGATATTTCGCCCCCTCCCCCATACCCCACGTGGTTAAAAAGAAATCTAAGGACAATGCCACGTTCTTTTCAGCTGCATTTCAAACATCCTGGAGATCTGTATACAGTGGCGTCACTAGGTTTGGTGTCAACCAGTGGGTTAATTCATGTTGGTGACATTCTCCACCCCCTCTCCCCCCCCCAAAGTGGCTTAGAAAGGGGTGCGGAGGGGCGTTCTGCCCCGGATGAAACTATTTTTCCAAAATTGAGAAATTGCATCGTTTTTTTAAACGTTTTTTTTTTCTTTTTGTTTGGGGCAAGGGGCAATCTTGGCCCTCCCATGGTATGGGCGAACTAAACCTAGCTACACCACTGCTCCCTTCTGGTATTCATCCCTACTCCTCAACTCCCCCCCCCCGCCTCCGAGGTTCCCATACTTTTCTCGGTGCCCCTGTTGCGTCCAGTTGTTTTCACTTAGACCCCAAAGTCAAACTGTTTAGGGCACTGCTCAATCGTGAATATTGAAATAATTGGAAAGCTCAATCCAGTGCGGTCTCATTTTAACGAAGTAAACCATTTGCTGAGGCTCTGAGGCTTCTTCAACCAGTTAATTCTCGGTCTGTTACTGGCTGCCTACCAAGACGCCACGTCAATTTAAAACGGAATTATATACCGGTAGTGTAACATTTTGCGATGCCCGTGTTTAGAAGCCACGGCTCCCCAGGATGCAGTGGCACATAGTTTGGAACCACTGGTCTGTGAAATGTTTTTTTTTAAATACAAAAAAAAATTAAATACAAAATTAACAAAGAGCCTAGAAGAATTTTTTTAGAATAAAGTTTGAGGAACTGCAACCTAATTCCTTTTTTTTTCTCTTAACATCAATAAATGTTACAAGCTAAAACGTTTCATTCCTGTCTTCAAAGATGCAAACCTGTCAACATCTTCATCGAAACTCGCTTTCAGTTGATATAATCTCAAGACCGCAAAAACCCTTAACTTTTCATGTTTGATCGCAATTTATTCTTTACCAGTTTTTAGGTTGGAAAAGCTCCTCTCCCGTGACGTTACACATTTCCACTGGCGTAAGAAGGGTGCGCAGAGGGGCGGCCCACCCCGGGGGGGGGGTCTCTTTTTTTCTTCATTTTTGATGTGCGGCATTAGGCCGACTGCAGAGTGTTTTCGTGATAGAAGGGTGGCAACATCTTGGCTTACCACGGGCGTGGCTAAACCTAGAGCCAGGCCACTGCACAGCTCATTGGAATTCATTGCTGTGGTAAAGAGCGGCTTGGTGGTGAGATTCTACAATGTTCCATTCATCTATGGATTTTGTTTTTTAAACTTTAAATATTGAACAATCTTTGGCTACGTCAAAATTAAAATATCCCGGTTTGAAGTGCCCTTGACCTTGTGAATGTCAATTAAGAGGTCGCTTCCCTATCAGGGAGAATGTTCAGTCTCATGGCAACGGATTCCAGTAACTTGAGCATCTTGTCATTGATCATCCCCCCCCCAGTAACTTGAGCATCTTGTCATTGACCATCCCCCCCCCCAGTAACTTGAGCATCTTGTCATTGACATTCACATCTCAGTGTGTTGTTTAACACCTTATCACTGACCCCCCCCAGTGTGTTGTTAAACACCTTTTCATTGACATCCCAGAGGGTTCATAAAACTCATCACAATTCATTTTTTTTTTTTTTAAGTTTCTATGTATTGATGTTTGTGTTTCTAACGTCATTCAAAGTTTTAAGAATTATTTTTCTACTATATATTATACGTCTACCTACTATATTTTTTATACGCCTACCTACTATATATTATACGCCTACCTACTATATATTATACGCCTACCTACTATATATTATACGCCTACCTACTATATATTATACGCCTACCTACTATATATTATACGCCCCCCTAAACTACCTTTTTTTCTCAAAACATAAATCCTTATTGTCACTTAAGGAGATCATTGGCGGCTGATTTCTAAGCTGGAGAAATAATTTAGATGTCAAGTGCTTTTCAATTGTTCAATGATTGTCCTACCTTAACCCTTTTCGTGCCCTTGAACTACAATTTTATTGATCTAAAAAAAAAAAAAAAATGTGAAAACATAAATCTTACGTTTACCACAAACAACTCAATCAACCATTTTAAATGTCTTCTCTAGTGACGTAGTTTGATGCGCTAATTGATGACCTCATTCAAAACTGAACACATTTTTGTGTTGTTTTTCTATCGGGAAATATATATTTATTTTTTTTTCAGTAGAATTTCTTAAACATTTTTCCCATCTATAACAGCCGTGAGTGTCTTTTTTTTAAAAGAAATTTTATTAATGTCATAAAAAATATACACCCAAAAATCTTAACCCATCTTTGTTTACGCCCATGAACTAGATATGAATTTAAAAAAAAAAATAAAAAAAATAAAAAATTAAAAAATAAAAAAAAAAACCCTATAGCTCTTGTTTTAAAGAATCTCATGGATCGCAGTTATTTGGAACTTTATATCGTGAAATCAGTGGCATCATATTTCCTTCATCTTCCTTTAAAAAAAAAAGGAAAAACTTATTTGTGGGGGGGAGGGGGGGGTTGAGGGTTAAGGCTGAAAATTTGAAAGAATGTGACGTCATCAGCAACGAATCTATGTGCCGACTTTCAGCTCGATAGGTTGACGGGAAGTTGGCCAATTAGCCTTCCGAAGATTTTTGCCACCCCACCCAGCCAGAAAGAAACACACGAACAAAAGTTAAAATAATGTGAAAGAATTTTTTTTTTAAATTGGCGCAAGCCTCCTGAATTTTTATTTTTTTTTCAAGACGTCATAAGCGCAGCTAATAGTCAGGTTGATAGGAGCAGGCCATCATCTTCTCCCGCCACACTGCATCAATAGCCTCACTCTGAGAATCTGTCAGCCAGTTCCTCCAGTCACCAACTTTGCCTGTGGAAAGATGGATTTTAAAAGAAACCTCATTTAACTTATGACGTTTAAAATACTATTTAAAAGATTTTTTTTTATACAGAAAAGAAATTTTCCAAGCGTATTTATGGGTGGGGACCACTGGCGTAGGAAGGGGGGTGCAGAAGGGCCGGTTCACCCAGGGCGGCACTTTAACTCTATATACTGAGGGGTGGCATTTTCGTCGAACTACAAGGTTTTTTCGTGGTCGCTGCGGCAAAAATCTTTGCCCGCCCCGGGTGGCATTAAACCTAGCTACGCCACTGGTGGGGACTTTGGAATACAAGCCCTGTTTATGATTCTTGGACTGGATACAAGAAGCATACGAGTTCATCAACCTTCTCTTACAAGCGGCACACCCTAGGCCTTTCCAAGAATTTCGCGGCACGCCACAAGTAAAAAAAAAACAAACATCCAAAAATACATTAAATCACCTAATGTAGTTTACATTCATAGCGGCGCAGAAAGTTGAATCGGAAAAAAATATTACACTGTATTGCGTGTTTACATGATAATTTTTTTTAAAAATAAGAACTGGTTTACTGTACTCAAAGCTACAATTTGTGGATCGGAAAATTAGATGTACTGTAAGATTTTTTTTCCACCAATTATTTTTTTATTTTTATTTTTTTCACCTATTATTTTGTTTTCACCTATTATTTTGTTTTCACCTATTATTTTGTTTTCACCTATTGTTTTGTTTTCACCTATTACTTTGTTTTCACCTATTACTTTGATTTCACCTATTATTTTGTTTTCACCTATTGTTTTGTTTTCACCTATTACTTTGTTTTCACCTATTATTTTGTTTTCACTTATTATTTTGTTTTCACCTATTATTTTGTTTTCACCTATTGTTTTGTTTTCACCTATTACTTTGTTTTCACCTATTATTTTGTTTTCACCTATTATTTTGTTTTCACCTATTGTTTTGTTTTCACCTATTATTTTGTTTTCACCTATTATTTTGTTTTCATCTATTATTTTGTTTTCACTTATTATTTTGTTTTCACCTATTATTTTGTTTTCATCTATTATTTTGTTTTCACCTATTATTTTGTTTTCACCTATTATTTTGTTTTCACCTATTGTTTTGTTTTCACCTATTACTTTGTTTTCACCTATTATTTTGTTTTCATCTATTATTTTGTTTTCACCTATTATTTTGTTTTCACCTATTATTTTGTTTTCACCTATTGTTTTGTTTTCACCTTTTACTTTGTTTTCACCTATTATTTTGTTTTCACCTATTATTTTGTTTTCGCCTATTATTTTGTTTTCACCTATTATTTTTTTCTCCACTTTTTCCATGGTTACCTTTTCTAAACATTGTAGCGTCCACCCCTCCCTCCTTCTTTCTCTTCTCCTTCATGACGTCGAAATCACAAGCCTTAACGATGTCCTCGGCCAACTGGTCGGTGACGGACTTCCCGAGGAATCTGGCCACAGTTCTCACCATCTCCACTGGCCGCGCCTTCAGGTCTTCGAAAGACACCATCAGCACCGGGTTGTCGTTCTGCGTTTTCATGACCCTGTCCCAGCTCAGGACGTGTTCAAAATAATCGCCGAATTCTAATTTCCCCGCCATGAACAGCTCGAAATAGTCATCGAATTTCCCGTCGTAGCCGTACATGAACGTCATGACCTTATGATGATTGTAGTGGGAGACCACCGTGTCTTTGGGGTTTCGCACCGTCAGAACGATCTTCGTCTTGTTCTCTTTAACGCCTTTCGGGAGCTCGTCGTAGTGCAGGTGGGAGTTCAGGATCCTTGGGGAGGGGAGAGAATCCAGCACAATGTCGGGAACGAGGTCGATCATGCCGCCGAGTTCCTTCCCTTGTTTCGAAAGCTGCGCGCGCCCCGACGTCAGCATCTGCATGATCTCGTACATCCAGTGGCATCCGGTTTTGGGATAGCCGCAGAGAAACGCGTCATCTTTTCTTATCCTCATACCGGAAATAGAGAGTATTTTACTAGTCCGGACAGGGGGAAAGACCTTGCCCTGCAAGAGCGTGGCATCCATGGAGGCTCCTGAACTGTCGACGACTTTGTAGTTTGAGCTTTTAGTTTTTGAGATGATCTTCCTCAGCATGGGTCTTATCAGAAGCGTTAGATAGTTGATGATGCCGGACCAGACAATAAGGTCATAGAGAAATCTCTTCACTCTCTGAAACATTCTGAAATATTTGAAACAAACACGTGAGCTTAGAAACACATGCTATGGACTTCATCTTCTAACTAAAGGATTTCTATAGGGCCCCTAATTTGTCGTGATTATTAAGAAGCTCCGTTTACGTTGAGGGCCCCACCTAAGCTGTGACCGCATCGTTCAACTGAATGCAAGAATCCAGAATTGTGTCAATCAGCGCTATTAAATTATTATTTTCCAGAAAATGAAAACAAATAAGAGAGACAGCAAATCTCGGCAGGGGCACGAACATCTTTTGCACAATTTTGTATCGATGGTCACCGAGTTAAGTCCCCTTCTTCTCTGGGATATTTTTTTTTATAGTGGATCTAGAGATTAAGTGCCAATTATTTGATAGTGGATCTAGAGATCAAGAGCCAATTGTTTGATAGTGGATCTAGAGATCAAGAGCCAATTTTGTGATAGTGGATCAAAGATCAAGAGCCAATTGTTTGATAGTGGATCTAGGGATCAAGAGCCAATTATTTGATGGTGGATCTAGAGATCAAGAGCCAATTATTTGATGGTGGATCTAGAGATCAAGTGACAATTATTTGATGGTGGATCTAGAGATCAAGAGCCAATTATTTGATGGTGGATCTAGAGATTAAGAGCAAATTATTTGATGGTGGATCTAGAGATCAAGTGACAATTATTTGATGGTGGATCTAGAGATCAAGAGCCAATTATTTGATGGTGGATCTAGAGATTAAGAGCAAATTATTTGATGGTGGATATAGAGATCAAGAGCCAATTATTTGATGGTGGATCTAGAGATCAAGAGCCAATTATTTGATGATGGATCTAGAGATCAAGAGCCAATTATTTGATGGTGGATCTATAGATCAAGAGCTAATTATTTGATGGTGGGTCTAGGGATCAAGAGCCAATTATTTGATGGTGGATCTAGAGATCAAGAGCCAATTATTTGATAGTGGATCTAGAGATCAAGAGCCAAATTTTTTTTTATCCAGAGACTTTCAATCAGCTGATCGTTGGTGTGGTGAAGATATATTTAAAACGGCTCCTTCACTTTTTACTCAACTGATGACAAGCCAGGCAATAACACCCGACTGCCATTCGTTTTCCCATTGGATTACAGCATGCATCCCGACTAGACAACATCACTTTATATTAGAGACCCACCGAAAGTTATTTTCTGATTTCAGCCGCAACCGAAACCAGACCGTAAGTTAAAAATTACTTTCGGCCGAAACCAAAAGATTAACGAGACTTTCAGCCGAAACCGAAGCCGAAAACAAAAGCTTAACGAGACTTTCGGCCAAAACAAAAAGTAGAAACCGAAAGATTTAGATATTTTAATATTCGTTCACGCATACATTCTTGTTTCGCCGAAAGATGATTGGGGGAAATATCAATATTTACATTCTTTTTATTTAAAAAATTAGATCATCTGGAATATTGATAAATTATCATCCAATGAATACTTCGTCTTTTACAATTTTAATTAAAAAGGAATTGAAGTTTTCTTAATAGTGTATTTTAAAGTAGCATGATAAGTGAACATTTTGATTGGATGTGCTTGTATTGGAGCAGTTCAAGACAACATCACGTCATAGGCATGTATTGTAGCAGACATAAGACAATATCACTTTATATTCATGCAAAATATATCCTTGAATTCCTTTAGCTTTTATAATAAAATCACAGCGTTGCCTAGACATATCTGCAACAGTTATCATGACAAGATAGAGCCAAGTGCCGCATAAATGTCTGTTATTGAGGCTATAAAAAATATCACCACGTGGTTCACGGTTATCGTCATAGCAATGCTTTGTGTTTTCATAAATAGCTGGCAAGATATAGCTGTAGTAATATAGCTAGTACCAATACACTAGTCTTTCCGCGCTTGTGACTTAATTATTTCGTTCGGTGACAAACCTCCCCATATTTTTTAACCGGGTCTCTTAAAATTGTAGTTCTGGCGGGTCTCCACAGAGATTCGCAAAAGACGTCTCAAAATCACAAATTGGTGGCCAAAATCATAAAAGTAAACAGGTCTCCAGTAGGCCTTCTACATAATTATTATAAGAACCAGTGATCCATGCAATCTTGTGTTATTTCGTCATTAACAATGTTTATGATGATGAATTACCATTCAAGTAGATTTTTCAACAAAACTATTCACATTTACCCCGGCCTAATTGAAATTTGATAATCGGAAATAAAAGACAAGCAGGTCATCATGCAGCTGTAAGCAGTTTTCGAAGCAGATTAGTCAGTTACCGGAAATTTGATCGAAAGGAATTTCGCCGACGGAAAATTGATCGAAACAAATTTGATCGAATCTTTTTTTTTTTTTTTTCCAGTTCGTACGTTAAAATTTTCGACCAATTTCCTTTTGTTTGTTTTTCACTAAACTTATTGATGTGCAATAAGGGGGCGTCCATTATTTTTTTTTCCCTCCTTTGTCAACAACTGTCAAACGTTCAATAACCCCCCCCCCCCTTAAGTAATTATGTCAACATTTTCATAAACCCTCCCCCCCCCCAAAAAAAAAAAATAATAATAATAATAATGAATTATAATATTAATAAATGTATATACTGATCTATTTTAAAAGCACAGATTAATAAGACACGAACAAATTGTGTCAATATAACAATATTAATTATGCTTTAATAATAATTATGCATTATACACAAGTAAACGTTTCGACACATGCCTTCATCAGTACAAACAAACAAAACACATTTAAATAAGTAAAAATTAAATTTACATAATATAAATATACATTTCCTACCTAAAACAGAAAAAATAGGAGAGGGCGCTAAAACCAGACAAAAACAAAGTAAAGAGGAGTAGAAGGAAGTGATTTTAACATAATTGTAAAAACCATACAGGAAAAAGACATGGCAGCTAGGAAAAATTGTGGATTTGGTTCATTCCATATGGAGACAACGTACCAAATCTGGTTATTAATTTGTTCTCCATATAGATGCTATCTGTGGTGTTACTAGTATAGAGTATACCAGTAACAGCGATGTCTGAGATACCATAATGGTTAGGGCTATTGAAATATTTGGAGACCGGACAGAGAGCGTGTTTATTTATGTTGTAGAGGTGCTCTCTGAACCAGTCCAACACTTTTTATAAAAAAATTTAATAACACAGAATTGTAGGAAACACATTTTCGTTACATCTTAAGCTTATTAATCAACAACTAAAAAAGTTTTCACACTTACATTTTATAATGCAGAATCAATGAATAGGTTGTTAAAGACTACACATCTATCGTTACACTGGGCATAGTAGCTGATTCATCATTTTCATCTTGCAGAACTGATATACCAGACAAGTCAACATTATCCTCATCTAACCATTTAGCACTTAAACTAGAAGCATTGTCAGTGTGAGCAATAACCTCCATAAGCTCTCTCTCTGTCTCCTAGAAGCTACATGAATTAATCGAATCCTTTTTTATTGAGGAGCAGATGGTCATTTCTTATGCATTTTCTGTGCTGTTGACCGTATTATTTCAACAGGACTTGTGATGCAAAATAGATGTTACAGATTTTCCAAATCCTTTCATCGAGCAGCGATGTTATTATTGTTACTCACGTAACTTTCCCCTAATTCTCAAAATATCGTAATCCTACTCTATCAATATCATTTATCTTGACTGCACATGACCTTGAACCTTGCCCTTGTTCAATACCTGCAACAAGATCGCCAACATACTGAACTAGTTATTTGCGACGAACAGAATCCACAGGTGAAGAGTTGCCAACTTTTGACTTCTCCTGTACCGGTACTAACAAAGTGTGCTAACATTCTCACCAGCCATCTGCCGTGCACAGACACACATTAAATAAATCTTATATTGTCAAAAGCCTGAAAATTATATAAATATTTTAATTTACAATCATTAATATTGTTAAAATCATGTAATAACGGGTTAATTTTTCAGATTAAAATTTTAATAGAGCAAACATGATTGCTGATGTCAACTAATTTAGATCTCCCTCTCCCCCCCCTCCCGCTATTTTGTTGACATGATTGCTGATGTCAACTAATTTAGATCTCCCTCTCCCCCCCCCCCGCTATTTTGTTGACATAATTAATGGTCGACCCTTAAGTCTTCGAACTACCCCTCTCTGGAGCATTTTCAGACTTTTATGAGGATGTTAGAATTATATGTTGCTTCTTGATAGGTCTTTCACTCAACTTATTGGTGATCAATAAGTCATTCTTTTACCAATGAAATATCGCAACACATCTGACGGAGTTATTTAAATATGCAGAAAGTACATGGCTCACACGTCCTTGATTTGTATTTTTGTGATTTTTTTTTTCATCATTTCGATGTACAAAAGGAAATAATGCAATGGCAATGATTCAAATTTAAAAAAAACAAAAAACAGACCAGACAGACAAGTCAGAAAAGAACGAAAATCCAGACAAGGCAAATTAAAATTAGACAGACAAGACCGACCAGAAAAGAAAGACCAGACAGACCAGACAAGATCGTCAAGACAGACAAGAAAGACCATAGAGACAAGACTGATAAGACCGACCAGACAAAAATGTCAAGATAGACAAGAAAGACAACAAAGACAATATTGACAAAGATTCGAGAAAACTTAGACCATGCTGTAACCACCCCAAAAAAACCACTTAATTAATGTGTCACCTATATATACCTTCGTCGTTGTTGTGATATCCTAGTCAGATGATTATAAATTAGTAATTCTGCAGAAACGCAAGTCAGTTTCATAACACAAATCCTTGTGTCACTTTAATACAGAACGCTATTTGTACAGTTGCTTGCCTTCAACTCCAACGACCAGGTAACGAAATCGCACCACTGTAAGCTGACACTAGACATGTAGGGCGTGTATCACTGCTACACAGTCAAAGAAATATGTTTTAAAAAGCCCAGGTCTCAGTGCAGATCCTATCTCAGTTACATGGACTGCATTTTTCTTTCTTATTTTAGGAACGACTATCAAAATGATTGACACTTTGATAAATTTCCTAGCTGTGCAATTGATATAAAGCAAGGGTGTCAAACTCAATCACTCGGCGGGCCAAAACTCAAATCACATGTAAGGTTGCGGGCCCAACAGGATAAACATTCAATAAGCGAAAACTAATATGTTTTTTTTTAAATTATTTATATAAATGAAAACAGAGAAAAGTTGTAAAAATTACAAATCACTGGCATGCCCATTTTCGTTCTTATGCCAATGCGCCAGAGCTGAGTGTTTGGCACATTTTCTTGGCTCCATGAACAAGTAAGTTCGTTTATGTTGGGAGTAACGTTCTGTGTCATTTAGATTCTCTTGATGAACTGCAAGTGTTCATTAGTGAGACGACTCCTGTGTGATTTTTTGTTAATCTTCATCATAGAAATCAGCTGCTCACACATGTATGTGCTACACAACAAGGTTCGAGGCCAAAGTAGACGAAGCTGGGGCAGCTCTTCAAGAATGAAACGAGTGAACTGTGCAGGCCCTACTGTGTCGTACTTTGCCTTTAGTGTCCCATTACACTGCAGCTCTATTAGCTCCATCTGAAAATTTACAGGTGAAGTTTCCACGTCTATGACAAAGGGGTTACGAAACAGCTCGAAATAACATTGATGTGCTTCAAACTCGGCGCGAAGTAAGCGAAGTTTTTCTGCAAAGTGTGCATTGGGAAACCCCATAGCGTTCACTTGGATAAAGTGAGCGCCGGTCAAGACCTCGCGGGCCTGATATAATTGTACGGGGTGGCGGATGTGGCCCGCGGGCCTTGAGTTTGACACATGTGATATAAAGGGTCAAAATCAAAGGGAAAAAATGAAGCCCTGGCTGAGCCGTATCATATGGACATGCAGCCATGCATTTGAGATATATATTGTATAGTGTTGAGTACACCGTGTGACTTAAATTTTAAACATTTAAAGATGAGATTATTTTATTTGACAAGTTTTAGACAGTATCCAGAAATTAATACGAAAAAATACGTTAATGGAAAATTGTTCGACGGAAGTTTATGCGAAAATAATTTTTTATTTTTTTTTTATTTTAAATTTTTGAAAGGGAAGCAGGTGAGAAATTGGAAAATTCAAACTTTATAATAACCCTTAATTTTATTTGCCTCCCCCCCCCTCCACCCCCACCCCCAATTATTTCAATTCGAACAAACTTCCGTTCAAACAATTTTCCTCCGAAAAAAATTATTTCAGATAAAATTTCCGGTCACCGTTTTAGATTCATTGATCGCGATGCTGAAATGAATCCCTTTATGTGGTGGGGTGGCTATGGTTGGTGTCACCCGGTGCGGTAAACTCATGGTGTCACCCTCCTCCTCTGACTGGCAAGATGGATTTGTTATTGTTAAAAAAAAAGTCCACAACAATAACAAGAGTAAAAACAAATTAATTAAAGGTCAGGAGGTAAATGTTTTAAAAAACTGTATTTAAGAATGTACAGGAGCCAGAATGTTCAATACATTGATCGTGGGTCCTCAAAATATAGAAGAAGGAGAAGTAAGTACGTTAAGTTGTAGTTATTTTTACATTAAATTTACTTTATTAAACATTTTCCATTAGCGAAACTAGGCCGAAAGTGATCAAATGGCAACCTTCGGCGCCAAAACTGAAGCCGAAATTCAGTCGGTCTCTAATTTTTGTTAAGGTAACTATAGGATAGACGGAAAATGCTGTTATTTTGGGGAGGGCATTGTTAAGGGGGTGTGGTTAAGGTTAATAGATTCTCCCGTCTTTCAGCTGAGGGTATTGTTACTTTCTATTATATTATGTGTTAGGGCCTCCCAGACTTTGCATGATAATTGTGGGGTTAACGACGGGAAATTCTAATTGACCGGAAATCAGAGTGCAGAGATGTGTTAATAGATAGCATTTATGTGCCACCTATGGAGGTAGAGAATGGTACATACAACTGAACTCTTTATGACATAGGGAGAAATCAGCTGAGAGATATAGTTTAGAGCAGGCCTGCACAACATACGGCCCGCGGGCCGCATGTGGCCCGTCAGCACCCACTTTGCGGCCCTTGAAGTAACGAAGTATTCTTTATTCTTATTATTTTCTTAATAGCTTTCCCCCCTGTTCTATTATCTGTTGGCCTGCACAAGTTTCCCATAAAGTATTACGGCCCGCCTTACCTTTTGAGTTGTGCAGGTCTGGTCTAGAGGAAACAGATGAAAGCGAACAGTCAACAGAGAACAGTTGCAAGAGTTTAGGAGACAGCAGTTAACTAGTGGAACATAGGAAAAGATGAGACGATACAGACGAAGAGTCTAGACACAGTCTTGGCTACAGAGATATATATTAATAGTTAGTTGACGATTCATGATACCAACAGATGAACTTTTTAAATCTTAGAAATAAACATAGACTTTTCATCATCTGGACACCTGGAGTTGAAGCAGTTTAGTTTTTCTTTCAGGTCTACGTCGTGATTTGTCTGCCCCAACGCCTAGATACTCCAAATGTAAATCACAGAGAGGAGCGGTCCTCTACTGACCACTACTAAAGCAATACAGTTTTTGATAGGTCAGGACCGGAGCCCTCCACCGTAACAACCATTCTGTGACACACTACAATCCGGCTATCTCTCGGGATGTCTTGTTCAGCGCGATCTGTCTTTTTTTTAAAATTGTTACAACTGTAGATGGATCTTCGAACAATTGATCTATGTCTTGGTTTTCTAGCGAATTCTCCATCCACCGCTGACCTGTATTTAAATATCTTTTCTTTTCTTGTACTTTATGTAACGCATCGCGGATGAGCTTGCTCTTAGACAGATTGGCTCACTGGTAACTTAGCTTCAATACATTGGGCCAGCGACTCAACAAATAGTGGGAACCTGTAATAGTAAGTGTGTAATGGCCTGTATCTTTTACACTTTGACTAGGCATTCTATAGAATGGCTGGATTACACACTTCGCCTTTAACTTTGTAATGTCATTCTAGAATGCAGAAATCAAAACTATTACAAAAATTTAATTTAAGCTTGCTTGCATCTACTATAACTAGTAATAGCTTCCATCTACTATAACTAGTAATAGGCATACAATATTTAAAAAATAGTTATAGTAGGTTCATATTATATAGCCAAATACTTCTATAATAGTATTACTGCATCTCTCTTAAAGGCCTAATAAAATTTAAGTTAGTGTTTTAACTACCGGAGTTACAAAATTTATGTAAAAGCACTGTTTCTTTCAGACTTTTTTTGTGGGGGGGGGGGGGGCATTTCAGTTTTTTTGTTTGTTTTTTTGAGGGGCAGTACTATTTGCCAGTGGGCCCTGGCCAGAGGCATAGCTAAGGAGTGGCGAATGGGACAAAAGTCCAGGGGTGCCATTCTTATAAATCGTTTTATGAATGGCATTATTATGTAAAGAAGAAATGAGTATCTTTACAAAATAAAGTATAAATTTCCCAATATTCAGTTGATTGATATTTTTATTTGGAATTTCAAACTACTGTAACATTTTTTCAGATAAATTACAAATTGCCACTTAGATATGCTTTAAAACATTTTTTTTTTACCAAATCTACAGAATTTATTTCAATTTGACAAATAAGAAAAGAAATATATTCTAAAACAAGTACCGGTACCAACAACAAATGGATTTGGTAATGATATTCGAAATGCTAGGTTACAAAAATCTTATTTTTCTTTTTTTCTTTTTTTGAAACCGTTCTGAAAGATTCTCATCTAGGTACACAAATCTCATTTTAAAAATCCGTGCAACCCGATGGGACAGTTTGTTGAGTTTAAAAAATCCGTGCAACCCGATGGGACAGTTTGTTGAGTTTTAAAAATCCGTGCAACCCGATGGGACAGTTTGTTGAGTTTTAAAAATCCGTGCAACCCAATGGGACAGTTTGTTGAGTTTTAAAAATCCGTGCAACCCGATGGGACAGTTTGTTGAGTTTTAAAAATCCGTGCAACCCGATGGGACAGTTTGTTGAGTTTTAAAAATCCGTGCAACCCGATGGGACAGTTTGTTGAGTTTTAAAAATCCGTGCAACCCGATGGGACAGTTTGTTGAGTTTTAAAAATCCGTGCAACCCGATGGGACAGTTTGTTGAGTTTTCTGGTATTAAAAAGCAAAAGCAGTTGGGAATTTAATAAATATAGACTATTTTTTTTTTTTAAACTCTGTTATTCGGGGAAACTTTGTGACAAGAGAAGCACTTTTAAAGAAAACACTAACGCATTCGATATATTAATTGGTGACGTGGGCATTATTTGTACGCGCCCTTTCAATTATTAATTCAAAAAATATATCTCAATTTTTTTTTTGGTCAGTTTCCAATTTTTATAACTCAACATGCTTGAAATAGAGTACAATTATAACTATGCTAATAAAAATATTTTTTTAAGCCTAATATCATCATACAATTAATTTATGATTAACCGAACACCTATCTCTACTTGAAAAGTAAAGATTTTATAATGAAATATAATTTGAAAAATAGATTGCGTATGGCGTATGTTTGATACTTGGCAGGAAATATTATTAGAATTTTAGACCTTGATATTGATGTAATGGTAGCTATGTACAGTGTTGTTTTAAGTCTTTTAATTTGAAAAGTTTTCAAAAAATAAATGAATAAAAATACCGACAAGTGCCAACGACGGGAAGCAAGTCTTCGGCTTATCATCAGGCGCGGCCAGTACGATTTTTTTTTTAATCGAATACTTTTAGCCTTTAACAAGATTGACCTTCTATATACGGATATCAAATATATCGAGCGTAGCGATATTTCATAGATTCCACTAATTGTAATCGGTTGAAGGCACCATTTCTAAAAACTGTTTAAAAACGACAATTTAGTATTTTTTAAATAAAAAATATATAATCGTTATATGGCTGTACACATTTTGCTCCGGGGGGGAGGGGGTGACTTTCCCGGGGGGGGGGAGAGTGCCCCCCCCCCCAAAAAAAAAAAAACCCGGAGGGATGGCTGAAAGAAACCCTGTGTGCAATGTAATGGTAAATCAAAAATGTATTGCACAAATGAATTATTAGAATAAACCTAGGGTTCTCAATTTTTTTTTTTTTAAATTAAAACAAAA